ATTATTAACAGTTTTTAAAGCAAACCTGGCCTGTAAACAGTTGTCCATTCCGGTGTCCCCCGCCAGCTTTGAGCTGAGCATCTTTGAACTCGGACACTCTCCTACGGTTCTGTGTGCGCTCGTCTACCGCCCACCTCGTTCTAAGGACTTCATAAATGAATTCTCTGACTTCACTGGCTGATATCACACAGAGATACACTCACTTTTTGCTTATTGGTGACTTTAATTTGCATGTGTGTTGTCAGGAGAAGCCCTTAGTGAAGGACTTTCTAGATTTATTGGACTCTTTTGGCTTAGCTCAGCAGGTACACGGTCCCACCCAGGAACATGGTCACACGCTGGACCTCGTTTTAACTCGCGATGTCTCTGTTTCTAATTTGAAAATCGGTGACAATGTTTTTTCAGATCACATGCCTGTATTGTTTGACTTCACCCCCCCCCTTGTCATACTGCTAAGACGTGCGTTCCTGCACGTACGCGTTCCATTAACCGTTTCACTGCTGCTCGTTTTAATGAAGATTTTATTTCTGAGAGGATCGAACAGTTCCCGGTGTCTCTTACCACTGAGGAGCTAACCTCTCAGTTCTACTCTGCCTGTTTAGATGTTCTGGACCGTGTTGCTCCCCTTAAAACCAGAAAAACAAAACTTAGATCAGAGCCTTGGCTGAATGACGTCACGCGAGCCGTTAGGCGGCAGTGTCGCAGAGCTGAACGAAGGTGGAGGAAGGACAGGCTGCAGGTTTCTTTTCAAATGTTAAGGGAGAGTTGGCGTCACTATCAGAAAACCGTTAAAGCTGCCAAATGTAAATTCTTCTCTGATTTAATTGTCTCCAACTCCCACAACCCCCGAGTTCTTTTCTCCACCCTGAACTCAGTTCTACACCTCAGTGAGCCTTCACCTCTGGAAGCCTCAACTGAGCTGTGTGAAAACTTCCTCCATTTCTTTTTAGAAAAAGTGGCAAACACCCGGGCACTCATTTCTCCGCCAGCTCATGATCTGTCCATCCCATCTCAGTGTGTGGCTGTGTTTGACCACTTTGAGCCCATCTCTCTGTC